AGCTTATTGAGATGAATTTAAAGAAGATCAAAGATGTGAAAGACCAGTGCCAGGCATTTGACAAAGACATCGAGGCCTTCCAGAAGGAACTCAGATTTAGGGGCTTTGACCTGAACATAGAACCTCTTGACTATCCCAAGACAGTTTGTGCCGCCTCGTCTTGCACGAAGTTTGTACCTGTCGGTAAATCAGGCCGACACAACACCATCTATGAGCAAGTCTGCCATTCCCACTGCAGTCTCTCAGGAGTTCCGATCGAGACAACCAACAACGATCAGCTCCATGGCTGCTGCGCTATGAGTGATGGCAAGTGCAGGTTCTGTGGACACAACTACAGAGAGCACATGCATATCCGATACACAGCCAGTGTCGTTGAGAAGGAATTCCTGTCTGACGAAGCACAGTCGAAAATCAAGACGAAGACCGACTTGAAGTCCCAAAAGCAATCGTTCATCAGAGAGTTGGAGAAGAACATCAAGGAGCTTGAAGAAGAAAAGAAGTTCATCTATGAGTGCGCCAGCTACTTTGGTGTCTTCCTCAAGCAGAATGCCATGCTTGCCTATAACGACTCCTTTTGTGAGTACCTGGACATGCTGATCAAGGAAGAGGAGATGAAAGAGAAGGGGATTAGAGACGAAGGGAAGATTGCTCAAATGAAAAAGGACAAGAAGACGTATGAGGAAAAGAAGAATGTCATCATTGAAAACATCAAGAAGGTCCCAGCGGATGGAAAGAAGGCAGAAGTCATGCCAATAGAGAAGATATTTGAAATGAGAGCGAAGCTTTGTTCCCTGAAGCACAATGGAAAGACTCTGCGAGACGCTTTAGGGATGGTTCTTAAATTTTTCTTAGTATACTTCATGGCGCTCGTGGCATGGAAGAACAGCGCAGGAGCGAGGGTTGCACATTATATCTTTCACACCTCTGCTACTTACGTGCTATGAGTATGAGTCAGGCATGAGGGAGACTCCAGTGTGGTGCCTGACTTTTTCCTAGTCGTCTTTAAAGCACTCGTGGCATGAAAGCACACTAGGAAAGAAAAAGCTACCCATTACGCCTTGCGCCCCCTTTCACCTGAGTGCTACGAGGACGACTGGATATGAGTCACATATGGGGAATTTAGGAAGCTCCCATTTTTCCGAAAAAAAAAAAAACATACTCACTCACTGCGAAGGTCTGTCATCGCCGACTATTCTGGGCTGACTTTTTGATGGGGTTCCAGTATATTGTGGCTCAATTGGTTAGTGCGCCGGATTGTGTTGTGTGGGAGGTCGAGGGTTCGAGCCCGGACCAATACTCCTGGTCTTAATATAACTGAGGAGAATTTGCTACCTTTGTATAACAAGAAATGGATAGATATTCTAGTCTTCTCGGATAAGGACGAATAAACCGTAGGCCCCGTCTCCTGCAGGGTTAGGGATAGGAGACGTTAGTTTCCTACGCACGAGACTACCTGTGTGGTGGATGTCCTCCCCTGGGGTGGAATGGGTGGGCGTTGGCTCTGAAAGGCCCCTATGAGGAGTGGTCAATTAACCTATGTATGTATGTATGTATTGTGGCTTCGCCTCCCGCTTCTGTCTCTGCAGTGCGCCGTCATGTTTTCCTGCTTTATCACGCATTAATTAATAAATGTTACTTATTTTTTTTGTAGATGGTATTATTTCAGCCAGGCAGAAGAATCAAAAAACACAAGCAGCAAGGTAAGATGTGTATTCTTCAGAACTGCAATAGGGTAAAGAAAGGAGGGGCTTGCTCAAAACACAAGCTTTACCTTTCATTATCAAATAATGAATAATGAAGGATCTATGTAGCTTCACAGCCAATGAATCGTGGTGCTTTGCAATAATTTGCTGGGACTTTGGCCAGACTGCATCGAAACAGTTTACAACTTTTGAAGGATATTTTTGCAGATGCCCTCATTTTCAAAATTGAGGCCAGGCTATAACACCGGACAACCTCGTTTCCAGGGCTTTCCCCTCATTTAGCAGCACATTCTCCTCAGTTATTTTAAAAGTTTGAGTGTTGGTCCGGTCTGGGATTTGAGTCCTCGACCTCCTACACGGCATTCCGGCGCTCTACAACACGAGCTAACTAGTCAGCGGTTATCATGATAGCCAAAGTAAGCATTTGGCGTTTTATGAAACGCTGGGGAACTGAAAACAAAGAAATCTACCACTATTGCAATAACCATCATTAACTAGCTTGAAACCGCATAGATAAATTATAAATCCCTAAAAACTTACGTTTCATATGATTATAGTTTGAGTTTCCCTTGTTTGCTGGGTATAAAAGATTTCTATATCTTAGTTGACCTCTTACTAACTTGAACTCATTACCCTTATTCTACTTTAGCAAGAGCTGTGTGTATGCCAAAACCAACAATTCCTGGATTCCTGGAATCTTGCATAAGATGAATCCATTCAATTGGGGGAGCAACAACAGAAGCAACTTACGCATCTCTCAGTACTAAAAGATTACATTACATCAAAAGAGACAACAGATGAGAATTCATTTGTGCGGCGTCGGTTGCAAGAAACTTCAATGTATGCATTTGGAAATGACAAATGTCAGTTGTTATGTTACGCTAGTTTAGTGTGGTTTTCGATGGAGTGTCTTTTAACTAACTAATACCAAACCAATCCAAACGACCAATCCAAAAGTAGTGATAGATAGCGCAAGGAGCAATCAGAACTCAAAATTAGTGCACGTGACGACCCCAGCGCGGGTAAACTGACGCAAGTGAACCGAGTCACAGTTGATTTTAGCTCGTTTCTGATTGGTCGAAAGGTTTGAGTAAGTATTTTAGCCAACCATAGAGTGTGATGAAGGGGAAATTTCTCTGGGGGCTCAGTTAGAACTTTCTCTAGCTACTTGGCAAGTCGAACACCTTTTTGATTGGGCGTCGTAAGATAAAGCAAAGTAAACGCAACAGCCAATCAGAGCAAAGGTAGAAGTCATAAGGGGCCAATAACAACCTAGTTGCTTCGGGTGCGGGAAAACAGGAGTGACCTTGGCACAATCGATCTTACTAAGACCGATTGTGCCAAGGTCGCGGTTTTGTACCAATCAGAGAGTGCTGCATGGCAAAAGTTCAACACTCCATTGAAAATTTCTCTGTTAGGTCCGTCAAAGATTCGTTAACACAATAGAAAAGTATCAAAATTAATATTTCTTGAGGACGTAAAGACAGTTAATATTTCTTTATAATAATGTAATTCTCATTGGGTGCCCTGTGAGTTCAGTGTAACGTCAATCAAATATCCCGTTGAGAATATTGGAAGCTTTAATATATTAGGTGTGTTATCCAGTTAGGGACCCATTATCTTATATCGCCATGGGTGGGGTTCGGAGAATTTTGGTTGAGTCACATTCAAATTTACCTGATTCCCCTCGAAACTCGGTAGTATTTTTGATTAGCCCTCATTGGTAGTCCTTTTTCTATAGTCCCCTCCACACTTTAAACTGTTTTGGCGACGACTGATCCCTCTCCGTCCCCCCCTGAAGACAATGTGATTCCCAAATATCTTCCGTTCTCCTCCCTCCAAGGTGGTGGATTATGACCGGTCTCTTCTTGAAAAATGAGAGGACGATTTCGGTTGGCAACCATTAGGCGTAAATTTGACTCAGATAAGTAGACCGAAGGATAGATTTTGTCAGGAGCCCATTACGTTGGTAATTTTTTTTTTGACACGGTTTGCTTGAAAAGTTAGCCAGGCAGGACGATCCTACTGAAAAAAGTCTGCATAACTGCAACCGCGTTTCGTATAACCAATAGAATCTGTCTTAAACTCTGTTTTAAATATGCTTAGTAAGTGCTAAAGATGACCAGGCATACTAGAGCCAGGGACAAAAATACGACTACACCCGCGAAACGTAAACCATTGCCTTTAAGTGGGCGAAGAAATCCCCATATGTATTACTTTCGTTTCCCGGGGTCCTCGGGAACTGCAGCAACTTGTGCTCTTTGTATGATTAGATGTTAAGTGAAAGAGATAGTAAGTACGGGGTAAAATGGGTTGAAAATAAACTTTGATCAAAAGTAACTGATTCTGAGTTATAAATTTATCTGATTTACGTTTCGTCGTGTTTGAGCGCGTGTGGTTGTGTTTGTGTGTTTCTTCAATACCTCTGGTTCCACTTATCTTCTAGCTTCTGGATTTTACTAGAGACGGGGGGGAAGGTGGGGGGCTGGAAGCCGGAAGCCTAATCTTTACCACGCCAGAAGTTTACGGTTAAGATGCACGAAAAGGCATACTCCGTTAATAAATACGATAGACAAACCAAGCTGAATGTTTTTGATGATGATGCAGCATTTACACAACGCATTATCCATATAAATACGCTCTAATGCGCTTTACGACACTTTGCGAGGGACGTCTTAGATCGTAATAACTGAGAAATGGGCCCCTTTTAACTATTTTAATTAAGCTTTAATTTCGAGACTCGGAATCTGTGACTCATTCGAGTATTCGTCATCGACCAATCTGGAACGAGGTATTTGTTGGGTATCTACTACAAATACCGGTAATGATATTAACGTCAGCGAGAAGCTTTTACCTAAATTTTGTCCAGCTTTAGATATGACGTCATGATACCTCGGCCGAAGTAGCCTGGAAACCACAATTAATCCTACTTTTCGGCATTGCAGATCAATCTACGGGGTTTCCTCCTCAAAATGGACCCATCTCAACAAGCAAATGTTACTCAGCCTCTTCCACCCGCTTATCCAGGTCCACCAGACTATGGTGCTAACCAGACTGGAGTGGCTTATCCCCAACAACCCGGCTTTCAAGGACAGCCAGGGACAACAACCATTATTCATACGCAACCAACTCATATTGTGATGGGAATGAGATTTTTTGAAAACCCCACTGCAATGACTTGTCCGTATTGCCAAGCTACTATTGTTACGGCCACCACTTACGTTTCAGGGACATTAACTTGGATTGCTTGTGGCGGTGTTGCACTAATGGGGTAATCTCAAAACTTGGTTGATTTTTGTTTTTCGACCTGGTTATCGAGTACTTATTGTAATGTTTTTCAATATTAGCCTACTCTTTGAATTAGTTGGATTTATTTATCATCGATTCGTTTGATTTTTTATTTCACTTTCAATTTTGTCTTCAGGTTCAGAGAGATTGGCCGAGGTTTCGAAAGTTTGAAAAATATTATTTTAAGATTGCAAATGAGGGAATTTTAGGGTAAAAAGGAAATAGTAACACGTACGCGATACTGTTGGTTGTTATGAATTTGAAATGGTTTTGAAATGAGAAAGCATAGAAATACACCGTGATTCATGTAAAGTTTGTGTTACAAATATATGAACTGGATTCACGGTTCACACAGCTGTTTGACTTCTCAACTTGACAACAGAGGTTTTTTTTTTTTTTTTATAATTTTGTTTTTCCAACTTCAGAGACATATTTGTGAAGTGAACAATGCAATTATATTAACACAATCTACATAACCATACTTACAGTAATACTACTGATTATGTTACTGTACGTACAATAGGTTACTAATTACTTTGTGTTGGTTTCAGTACTACTGATAACATTGTGTGAGGGCTTTCCTTGTGCATTCTGCTCTGCATTTTTACAGTAATCATTGGTTTAGCAATCTTCTACAGCAATCTTTTACTTAAACATTTCTTTCTTTTCTTTGCACAAGAATTAAGAGCAACTCAATTGAACAGATATCCAGGTTATTACAATAGTATTGTTAATCTGGAATAAGGTTAATTACACCTATGCAAATGAAGAGATCTGTCATACAAATGAAGTCACAAGGGTTGACTTATTTTGGACAATTTTTTGTTTCATTGCAGTGGTTGGCTTGGATGTTGCCTGATTCCATTTTGTATTGATGCCTGCAAAGATGTTATTCACTCCTGTCCTAACTGCAGCCGTCAAGTGGGTGTTTATCGCCGAGTGTAACAGGACACCCAACCAGTCGAAGCATAACTTCTGGGTAATGCTGTGGGGTTGTAAATTGTCATTTAAATCCTACACGTTGATTGCAAGTTTCATGTACTGCTTTGTTTAATTATCAATCACCTCTATGAATATATTCTAAAATGTGATTTGGTTATCAGCAGCATGTTTTTAGCAATATATAGTAGAACATATGCATCATGATTATTATTACACAGGTTAATAGCTTCAGGACATTAATGATCTTGCTAGTCATGTCTTTTCATTCCATGTCAGTCACATCAGCTGATATTTTTCCATTTATGACTGCATTGCGGTGCCATTATGTATTTTTTTCCCTTAGATTTAGTCACAGTTTTGATTAATTGGTAAATTTTTGTGACATTTAACTCTATCTTTAAACAAACTGGGCCCAGTCAGGTGTCCCGTGGTATCAACAGCCCAGGCCTGGTGATAATTCTTTTTGTAAACATACTGGGCCCCAGTTTTCAATGGGCAGGTGACACTATCTAATGTACACATACCTATCAAGTAGCTAAGTGTTAATGAAATGTACTGTGCTGTTTATTGTATAGAGATTGATCCAGTGGATAATGTTATGTAGCCTACAAACAAGCTGGGCCTTGTTATCAATAAAATTGAGACTCCCATTATTCTTACAAATCAATTATATGGTCAAACTGAATTAAACTGTACTTCATCCATTCAAGTACTTTTATTAACTAACACATTCTTCTTTTTGTACATACATCATGACATCGCTACATTAATTTGACTTATGGTATTGCAATGATTACCATGTTATTTAGATGGACAATTTTGTAATTGGTTAATTTTGCCTAGTAGCTAGTAGTTAGATCTCAAATTTGTATTTAATATTTACCTTGTCAAGAACAAATCTTTTGATGTAATGAAGGTTATATAAGTCAAGCTTTGAGTTGTATTTGTTACAGTAACTCTAATCAAGATGTGAACTGGTGTGTGTTAATCACTGTGGAAATAAACATTCCATTTTGCTCACTGCACATTATGGTCTGCAAGTCTTTGTCACAAGTCTTCTGGGGCAAACCCAGGATGTAGTCAAGGGGGGTTCGGAGAATTGTTCGAGGGCATCTTCCCCTGGGAGATTTGAAAATTAGTTCTTCGGAAACATGATGTCCAGCATTTTGAGGGAAAATTTAGGGGGTTTGACCAAACCACCCCTGGATCCACCCCAGGTCTTGTTATACTGTTTAACATTACTTGAAGGTTTTAAGGAGTTTGCATTTGCAGTGTTTTCATTATTTTAAGCTTGACAGCTCTAAAGTAATCCTTTTACCTGTTGAAGTTTTGAAGAATTCCAAGCAATTTTGGGCACCCGAGAAAAATGCTGCATTTGAACACACAATATCCACACTCTTTCTGCCTTATACAACCTCCATAACTTAAATTTCCATAACCTATTTCAGGACTATTTTGATGTTTCAGTTTTCTGTATTTTATTATGCTAATTGTTTACTTAAAATTGTAAGAGGGCGATGGTGGAAACAGGCAGGCAGGCAGATGGCAATATTTGACTCTCATAATCAGTTTTCATCATTATTAACATCACTTGCAATCCAGAGGTCAGTTTCCATTTGAGAACCATCATTTCATTACTAATTTTTTCTTTGGTCTACTCAGTAAATTTGCAATGACTTTCTTTGACCTAAATTCAAATTCTATCTTTACCCAGGTCAAAGAAAAATATTGAAAAATTCCACGACTTTCCAGGTTTTCTGAAACTTGTATGAACCCTAAAAAGACCCACTATTACAGCTCTCAGTAGATGTGCAATGATTGCACAATCTAGTACAGATTTGCAAGTCACAATACCAACATCAACCTTGGTGAATGAGGGGTAATAATGATAATGGTTAGAATCCCTTTAAAAAAACTTTATTTTTTCCTCTCAATTTCTTAACTGCAGACTAGCCAGAATGTTGTGATCATTATGATTTAATATGATGAAGATAAACTGAACACACTAAACATGATAAGCTCAAACAAGCCACAGGAAGCATACAATGGTACTGATTCTGCTTCTAATTTTGAAGGAGATAAAACCACTTTCAAGAAAGGTCTGCAGAGTAGTTCAATAAACTTCAAAATGATACAAACATGTAAAAAATAAGCCTAAACTTATGTATACACAACTACTTCTGCCATCAACACAAGATCTGCAGGATGGAAAATTACCATACTCAAAAAGGACTTTTAAAAGAATAATCTTTGCTGACAACATGGAAGTAGTTTTGAGATTCACTCATGGTAGACAATAAATATTAACAAACTCCTTGACTCATTAAGTTTTGATCACGAAAAAGAAGTGTTAACAACAGTCCTACTAGAAGGTGGTAGATACAACATTATTAATAACTTTGAATCATTGACATTTATGCTCCGAGACCTAGAAAAGTAATTTTCCTGGCTATCTGCCAGACACTACATCACAAGACAGCTCAGACAATTTGGTGTTCAAATTACGAGCAACGATGATAAATCAACACTGTGGGTATTTACCTCACAGTCACTCTCATTGCATGAAAATATTGAAGCAAGAAGGAGACTTTTCAGTACAATTTTTAAGGAGCCGATAAGGAGAATTTGTCTTATAATCAAGAACTGCTTTAGTCCATGATCATTTCCTTTGTACGCACGACCTAAAAGTTTGATTCAGGGGTGATGGAATAAGAAGAAATAAGATGCAGGTCACTCCCAAGGGGATTAAATCTTGTTGAGTAGATTTTATCCATTTTCAATTTAGGAGTGACTCAAGCTTGAAAATAAATGATGCAGAAATAGCAGTTTCATATGGATATTTTTACTTCTGGGAAAGCCATGTTTGATAGACTTTTTTTTTTTTACCTTGATAACTTAATAATCCTATAGGACTGTCGATAACACTTCCCTTCCTTAAACTAAATGTACAAGTGCAAAAAAATTAATAGTAACACACAGACTATCCACTAGTTTTTAAAATTTACAGAGTATCTGAAATTTCACTTCAATATAATATGGATTGATGCTTCTCTTTGAATTTTTTACCAAACTATCACTTAAAGTGGGGTAATGGGGTCCACATTCCTTTCACAATGTCCATGACATACAAAGGTTATCATGAGAAAACTATACTCTAAATATACCATTACAGGCAGAACATAGGTGGTACATCAATGTTCTCAACTTCCTTTACCAACAAAACAAAATGCAAATAAATAACAATTTTATCAATGTTGATCTCAAAAATGTTCATAATATAATTTTTAAATTTATGATACACACATCTCCAAGACCAAAGTAAAAATAGAAGCAGAATTTTCTTATCACGTTTCACTGCCCTTATTTACATTCCCTAAATGTGATCTGATTCCACTGATGTTATATGATTTTAATGATGAACTGCGAGTTACTAGTGAAACATGATATTCCAAGAGTCAACACTTGGCCCCTATCTTATTTTTTTGAGTATAGCTACATCTCCAATTCTTTGGTTTAATAAACAAACTCTAAATCCTGCCATTAAATAAACG